CCTTTTATTTACGGATGGATAAATATAGTTTTCATTTAAAAGTACAGTCAACTGTGTAATAAGTTATGATCATGGGCCGCATTTAATTCAATTAGTTAAAACTTATAGATAAGCCCTTAGAACAGTTATTTTAGAGAAATGACACTTTAAAAAATAATCAGCAATGTAACTAGAATATGTGTGAAAATTAGGAATTTATTTTATATAATTTAGGTGTGAAAATAGCATTATAAATCTGACTAGCTTTTGCCCGCGGCTTCACCCGCGTGAAATTTAGTTTGTCACAGATCGTCATAAATTATATGTTATTCTGGGTTATAAACAATAATAATGTAAAGTTTCATCAAAATCCGTTCACTAGTTTTTGCGTGAAAGAGTAACAAAAATCCAGACATCCAGAGGTCCAAACTTTCGCATTTATAATATTAGTAAGAAGAAGTAAGATAGTAAAATTAGTACTTTGAATAATAGTCTTTCATACTCTATCTTTATAAAGCCTGTCTCTATCAACTACTAGAAGTGATAGCCATACAAAATCCATACACCAGAGGTAGTTTTGTGATTAGTATGCATCTGACATACAAGATAATACATGAAAGGACCAGTCCAGTGCAATCCAGACTGATTGTTCCTGCTATTGTCACACCAATCACACTAGAATATAATATTTGTGTCGCAAAATCGTCTCTATTGCAACCAAATAGATGCCACACAAGATGTAACTTGATGTGCTGTATGTGCCTTTTATTCAAAAGTTTCTATTCGTAAATGATAATGTGATTGTTCTGTTAAAAGCTGAGAGTAGTTCCTACATTACCCCAGTGTCATAATTCAACACCAATTAACTTATTCGCAAGTCAAATAAACTTTAGTTTCGGTAATTGTAAAAATATGAAAAAAGAACATTGAACTATAACAAAAGCCAGGCTGTTATTCAACCCGTTTTATTATGTTTTGGGTTCAATTGTTTTTTAAAAGCTAGCCCACACAACCCCAAAATGTTTTCAGGTGATACGCAATCGATCCGGCTAGGTCCATTGCCTAGCAAAAACAAAGGTTTTGCTTCAGTGGCCATTTAATTAATTTGATTTCAAGTCAAATGCATGTTAAAGGTTTTGTGAACTGTACCTACAATAGGGATGTTATGGATATGTAGTTTGGGCTATGGATACGGTTACGGATATTTTTTTATTTCGGATATCCGAAAGTTTCGGTTACGGTTACGGATATCTGTGCTTTAGAATGCAATTTGCAATAGTTGTCTAACACGGTTCATTCATGGCCGCACACTTTACATCGAATAAAAAGTAATAAAAAAAGTAAAAATTGATACTAGATGGCATTATAAAGGTAAATCAGGCTGTTATGCCTTTACAATATAATGCTATACAAAAAAAAACAATTTAAACTGCCTACATCCGAAAATATCTGAAACTTTTGAATCGGTTACGGTTTCGGATATTTTTTTATTTCGGGTACGGTTACGGATATCCATAACATCCCTGTTGTACAGTTCGGTATAGTATAGGGCCACTCCCTCTTTTTACGTGGATGTCGTAAAAAGCGAGTAGGGGACTAATGTGCAAACGTCAAGCCTTTCTTAACCGTCTGGCCAGCGTGGGTAGTGACGGCCAACCCACAATTTAGTACCATAATACCTAAAGAACACAAACTGTTACTTCTTACCTACTCTGGAATATAAACTAGCTTTCCGCACGTGTAATTTTGTTGTGACAGAAAAACTTTATCGCGCGCGTCAGTGTTTCAAAAATCGAAAAAAAAAACTATCCTATGTCCTTTCCCAGAACTCAAACTATCTCTATGCCAAATTTCATCAAAATCGGTTCAGTGTTTAAGGCGTGAAAGCGACACAAACAGGAAGAGTTACTTTCGCATCGTATAGATTATTTCTGTTTTTTTTACTTTTTCTTAATCCAAAACTGACTATTGTAACCAGCCTGTTAACTCGATGCTTAATTTATTATAAACGTCGTATTGTAAGGTCTGACATTTCAATTTATAGTGAGTGATTAATTAACTGTTTAATGAATCCTTAAAACCCAAGAAGTTTATTAAAATTTATTTTTTTTTTTTTTTTTTTATTTTTATTTTACAAGGAAAACAATACAGTGTTGAAACTATGTAGACTAACATTTTAGAAAACTTATAACCATTAACATGTTTTCACATTTAGAGCCTGAGTAATGCTTGTTTATCAATAAAAAAATAGAAAAGAAGTTACCAAGCCAGAGTTACCTACTACTAATTAAATTAAAGCTTAATACAAAAAAAAAAGCACCCGGAAGCTAATCTGATTAAATTGTTATGTTTAAATTAATTAATTAAGTGAAGTTTTAATAAATCATTGGAGCGTTGTATTTTGGTATACGGTGCATACAAAAAATCTGTCTGCGTAAGTATACTAAGTGCTGACATCATCACATAACCTCCTCCTTTTTTGAAGTCGGTTAAAAAGAAGCAGAACCAATTCAAGCCCTTACCAAAGAGAATATAAATAAGACACCTCTATCGAGTAACATTATTTTCAACAGGGATCTTTGTTTGAAGCGTTAATGGCTTAGCTACAAACATTGTTGTTGTTGTTTCAGCCGAAAGACGTCCACTGCTGAACATAGGCCTCCCTTAATGCTTTCCACGTTGATCGATTGGTAGCGGCCTGCGTCCAGCGCTTCCCTGCTACCTTTACGATGTCCACAAACATTAAAACCTCAATATTCTGGAATAGAACTTGAAATTCTCACGTTGATTTCCGTTTTGCAATAGAGGGAAGTCTCTAAATATCTACATTCCTATTTTCTAGCTAGTTTTGAATCCCAAGATACATAGTTAACTCCCAGGGCTACGCAGCTGTCACTTGCTGAGTTTCATTAATTGCTTGTATATTTTATCTTGGCTCATCATTTCAGCCACAGGACGTCCACTGCTGAATGCCTCCCCAAATGACTTCCACATCGCATGGTTGGTAGCGGCCTGCATCCAGCGCCTTCCTGCTACCTTTATCAGGTCGTCGGTCCACCTTGTGGGTGGACGTCCCACGCTGCGTTTTCCGGAACGCGGCCTCCATTCCAGAACCTTGCTGCCCCATCGGCCGTCAGTTCTGCGTACCTACTATCTGCCTTGCCCACTGCCACTTCAGCTTGCTAATTTTATCCTGGTTATACAGGAGTAGTAATGATGGAAACGAGAGGTTGGAAATATTTCACACATTAATTTTGTTATTACAGCCCTCTCATTCAACGTCGTAGTATCAAGCATTCAAAGCATGAATAATAACGCCAGAATACACACTGAAAGAACATACATAATGTATGATCGCTAACGCGTGAGTGAATGGCGTACTCGTATGTCAACAATAAAACGTGACTCATAACCTGAAAGAATTCCCACAATCCCTAGGCCACACACATTGCGATAACCCGAAGATTTGCGCTATGGCGATGTGTGTTGCCAAGTATTCACGTGTACTTCACTACTTTTTTGCATAGTCGCAAGGATATTGATTGCTTTTTTATCGATTTTGTGAAACATATTATTGGCAGATAGCTAATAGCTCACAGGATAGGTCGATGCTTAAGAAAAGATATACACCACGGACATTAAAGGTTACTCGAAGAAAGTTTGGAGAGAAGTCGAACCTTAACTTCGAAATCCTCCTATGTTCTTCTGAATAATTTGATTGCGTGTCCAATGTCTTTCCCCGGGACAAACTTGACCTTCGCTGTTCGGGTTTTTATTGGCGCTCAAGCTGTAGATCCTGGCTACACAGGAGTTGCAGCGATGGGAACAAGAGGTGGGAATAGTCCCGTAGCCGCAAGGACTTCGCTCTGCTGTCCACCGAATGCTATCGCGATGTGTGTGACCTAGGCTTACCTATGAGGAAAACGTTTTTATTAAACGTTATGGAACACAACAAATTGTCAAGTTCTTTTAGGGCAGATGAAATTGCCTATCTCAACAATTTCACAAAGAATAAGTTTGCTGGAAGCAAATTTTTTCCACTGAATTTTATATTGCTGCTCAACCAACAAAAATACAGTTATTTCTGAATTACTGTAAGCGAGTGAGGCTCATCCACCTAGAATAATTTAAAAGAGAAAACTGAACTGCTTGTTAACTATAAATAGATTTAAAAGTAATTTGGGTCTAGGTATAAAAATCAAAATAAACTAAGGTAACGGCTAGTTTCAGATGAAAAATAATTTAATTGATATTTACATGGATAATGACCGGGAATTCGTAGATTTTTAAACGTCACATAAGTTAACGACTCGAGTCTGTTTATGTGGTTTGGTAGCAATTTCAGAAGTTTCGGTAAGAGTTCAAAACTTTTTCGATTTGCCTATTGCGAGGCGTTTTTATTACTTACGGTTTATTTAAAACAGGAAAAGGACTTTACATTTATATTTTCGGTAACGACGAATACCTAATAATGGTTTTTCATAAGTCATTTTGAAAACAGTAAGTAGGCTCTGATATGAAACACATTTGGTTTAATCTCAGACTTCATGAGCTGAATTAATAATACCTACACATACAAAATAGAAGTATTTTGTCTTCTGAAACTTCTATCATTTTAAGGAAAATTCCGTTTAATAAAGGACGTATCACATTTATCAACCCGGAAAAGGATCGTAACCGTATCAACTCGAGGCGGTCAGTATTCTACCTACTCGTATAATGAAACTCCATACTGCAACGCACACTTACTCCATACCGTAACGTAAACGCCTCGCCTTGCGCACGAATGACGATGACAGCTCGCGAAAGTTGATAAGTCTGGTATAGATGACCCACGCTGAACTGTCCCACCAAACATAATGACAGGGGGGCGCTACCATCGTTCAACTATATGGTTTCCAACATGGCAAAAATCGGAACCAGCGATCCGGTATTGTCGGTGGCGCCCCACTGTCAATGTCATGCATAGGACAGTTCAGTATTTTGGAACTATATGACCTAATTTTATTCTTTTGTCGCAGATTGTATGCGGCATATCAGCTATGGTGATGGGAAGCGTGGCCTTCATAGAAGAGAGGCAGAAGTTCAACATGGGGCTCGGCATCCCGGCGGGAGGGATCAGTGTAGTTGCAGCAGGTAAATACAATATTATTGGCTTGGCCATATCTATCGAATAACTGAGGAAAGGTAGAATAAATGTGTTGTCGAATCGTAAACATGTTTAAGTAAACGTGGTGTAGCACGCTTGATAAACAGCGACGACCAAAAGTAAAGCTTGCAGAGGTTGAATGAAAAAAGTAAGAGAATGGTATTCTTCAGGAAAGGCTACCATTTAGCAGTGGACTACTAAGGGGGACAAATTATAAAAGAGCAGTAGAAGTAAGGTATACTCGTACCTACTTTTATATTAAACTAGCGGCTGCCCCCTTTTTACCCCTTACGGGTTTGATTTTTGCAAATCTCGCTGTAAAGACCAACCTTGGACTTCAACAAACATTGAAAAAAAAAAGAATTGGTAATATTGGTCCAGGTGTTGTTGAGTTATGCGCTTACCAACACATATTTATATTATAAATTCATTATATCTTTCACTCAAAGTTTCAACAGACTATAAACTAGCGGCAGAAGGAAGTAAATCGACATTTTAACTTCAATCAAAGTAACAATTAGAACTCAAAGGAAATGCTTAGCAACACTAAAATCGTAGGCAAAGAGCGTGCCGACTAATGAGTGTTTAGATCCAATTAAACCAAGACTAACTCACAACTGGAAACTAACAACGTTACCGAGATTCTGGGATTTCGAGACATTCGCAAACAGTACAGGGTGTTTGGGTTTGTTGCCGATTTTTTTTTGACATTTGCAAGTTTTTGTTTACATTAAAAAAAATTGAAACATTTATTACGATGAACATCACTTATACATGACAGAGAACCTATACAGAAAAAAAAGACAGAAATAGCACATAAATATTCATCATCAACAGCCCTTTACAGTCCACTGCTGGACTATGAGCCTCCTCCACTATAGTGGAGGGTTTTGCCATAATCTCCACGCTAGGCAGGCGGGTTGGAGATCGCAGTTTAAAAGATTGATGTTTTTCAGAGAGCGCTGCTGCCCATTCTCTGTTTGATGTGTAGTCCCTAAGTCGCCTCTTACGACACCCGCGGGAAGAGTAGGGGTTGGTGACAAATGTATTCTACTCTGCCGTCACCACACGGCTTACATAAATATTACAAGGAAATAAAAAGTGCCGTGGCCCACGGTGGGGAAGGCCACGACGCTGGTTTTCATAATTTGGTTATGTACTAAAAAGTGACGTGCGAACTGAGTGTTAACCTATAACCAAACCAGGTCTAGCTCTCTAAGGCTGAGTTGCACCACCTAACTTTAACGGTAACTATAACGATAAACGGTGCTTTTTGTATGGACTTTGACAGATCGTTTGTCAAAGTTAAATTAGAATGGTACAACCCAGTCTTAAAATAGTTTGTTTAATTTACATTTTGTACCTCATTATCAAAGTTTTCTTTGTGCAAGCTTATTTATTAGTAATCTGCAACTTGAAAGGACATTTTCCATTAAATGCTGTTCTCAACATCGGCTGTGGGAAACCGGTCACCCTGTATATTGGTGTGAAAGCGTTTATTTTGATTAAGTGGGCGTAGGTACGTAGTAGTTGATTAACATACTTGTAGCCAAGAAAAACATAGAGCTTCAAGAAAACTCACAGTAACTGAGGGGAATTCAAGTGTATTATATCACACATAGGGACCCTAGTTTTAGCTATTTTGTAGTTTTAGGTACGCGCAATTGGCTAAGTACCTATGTGTATGAAAAATTCGTCATTATCATCATCAGTTTTTTACTGTTAGATTTAAACTCCATAAGAATGCCAAATAATTATGATCTCAATATTTTTTCAACCATCTATGCTGCGATATATTTTCTCAAGGTTTTCGATACTTTTTGAGTTTACAAATTATTCATATTGACAGTAATATCCTGTGATTCGTCACGAGGCTAATTAGTGTCATACTAATTTCTCAAGCTAAAATTAACCAAAAAGTACAAAATAAACACGGCCTACTTTATAACTCTCTCGAGCCTAATTCCTGTATAAATTCGACGAGATTTGTTACAGAAAGTCCTTAAAAGAAATTCTATGTTATTTAATCGTCTGAAAGGCGTGTTTCTACGTAAATACCCTGTACCGCTTTAAAAGGAACTAAATTGAAACATCTCTCGTGATTTTCGTGTTCATACGTTTCTACGTAATTGTAGATTTGTCAAAGCAAATTCAAATTGCACAAGTGTATTCTTAAAAGAACTAAATAAATAACTTAAAATGTATGTGCAGTGCAGACTGCACATTTGAATTTGCTTTTAAAATTCAAACGATTCAAAATGAAAAAGATTGTGAACGAATTGATTTAAGATTTAAATTACGTCTGCTCTACAGTCAATGAACAAAGCAATAAAAATTAATGGTTCTGATTAGCCAACGAATGGCTGTAGAAAAAATCGCCCATTTTCTTCCGAGATGTTCATAGTTAACAAGATAATCATCTTCTGTGACTGAATATTACTGTTTATGAGAAAACTAAGTGACTGGGGAACACACGTACAGCCATCAGAAATAATGTAAGGGAGAAGCCACATGGTTCGGTGCGGTCGCGGCGCGGCGCCGGAGCGGTGCCCCTGCGGCATCTTGCATATAAAAATCAATTACATGCCAGACGGTGCGTTCCGGCGCCGCACCGCAGGCACACCGCACTTCGATTGAGCGAGACGGTGCCGTATTGTGGCATGATTCGGCAAAATGCTTGCAGTGCGGCGCCGCACCGCACCGAGTGGCTTCTCGCTAAGATTCTAATTGTAAAAGAATTATTCAAATCGGTCCAGTACTTTCAAAGCCTTTTCAATACAAACAACCAAATCTTTCCTTTTTATAATGCGAGTATTAGTGTAGATTAAGCTTAATCCCACATTAAATATTCAAGTATCCCAAAATACTTTGCCCACATCTACGATCGCGTGGGTAGTTCATGAAAATCTCGTCGAGATCCCACGGGAGTTGTCTAATCCCGCCTAAAGTTGGGTATGTCTCGAAATGAGTTGTATATTGGGAAACAAATTCTTAGATCGGATCAGACATTCGTAAGATTACATATAAATATTTACTAACAGAATGGTACCTCTGCCTAGCATCCATATTATGCATAATATGCAATGCAACAGATACATAGAACTTCTAGATTGCACACACAATTGCACACATTTTTTAAGTCATTTTAACTAATCATAACACTTTGTATGAATGAATTTAGACTGATTTTTCGCAGCTAAAAGTGGTTTTGACTTATGTCCTCGGTCAATATCAGTTTTGACTGATTTTCCAGTCAAAAGTGGTTTTGACCGATAATGAGTTTTGACTGCAACATTCTATTGTACGTAATAATATTTGCACAGCTGTATCAATACACACGTCGCGGGGTTGGAGCGCCGTAGCGAGCGGAGCGGGAGCGGGCGCGGGCGTTGCTAGTGTGCTGTGGGCGGCCGCGGCTTGCTTACTGCTGGCGCTGGTCGTGCAGTGCTGTAGGACGATACTGGACCCGCCTGGGCTTAATTACAGGTAACCGAACATTTACTACTTCAGTGGCTTTTTTAGAAAGAGGCTGGGACTTATCTTACCTCTGGTGCTACTACTTACTATTTTTAAGGATCTACAACATCGCACCCCCCCTGGAAGAAGTATGCAAGTCCACTTGTGCGATATTTTTTTTATTGCACTAAAAAATCGAGGAGGAGGTAATACATATTGTCAATTTTTTTCATAATTTTTCTCTTAAAAATGAAGAAATTATGTACAAATATGTAAAATATTGCAACATTAAAACATCTGAATTTCCATAGCAAAAACGAAGTAAATACATTTGCACTTAATTGTTTAATAAAGTTCCGTGTGAATAATAGCATATTAATAGTTACGTACATCTTCCACGAAGACTTTAAAAAACATTTTCGCGTATCTATTGTTGCATACTTATTTTAGGGTATTATTTGGTGGGTATCGTAGTGCAAGTTCAGTTGCGTATTAAGTGACCCCTATAAAAACAAAATTCCTGTTATGTATCACCATAGAGGTCACTTACAAATTATGGATTGATGGTGAAAACGGGCATTAGTCCTTTTGATAGCTCGTCTCTCCCTAAAAATGCAATTTCCGAAAATTATAATATAGTTATGCAAAATTATTGTAACTTTTTAATTTTGAATAAAGCTATAATTTTAAATACAACCATAAGTAATGTAATTTTTCACAAGGTAAAAGTACGTTATCCTTTTTACGAATTTACTTCAATACGAATAGTTCGAGGAAAAACTACGTAAACTACACTTACACGTTGAATGCACGACTAAATCTGAACGCCAATAAGTGGTTATCTGCAATAATACCAAACAGCATGTATTCCTTTACATGTCAACAATGCAATATTCATAATTACAACAACAAGGTGTTAAATATGTTTCGCGGAATAAGTACGCAACGCTCTTTTTTAAGTTTTTCTCAAAACCTATTAAGTGTATTTTAAATATAAATACATAGGCCCCTCACAGACATTTTTAGCTATCTTTTGATGTATAACACATATTTTTAATAATGGTAATAAATTTTTAGGACAGTTTTTTTACGCTCCTGAAAAGTTGACATTTTTCACTTGCGTACTTATTCTAGGAAGGGTGCGACATGTCACCTACAAAGCCTAACAAGTAAAATTCTCGAGAAATAGCTGTTTCTTTAACCCACCACGATCTTTAATAAAATATTTACGTGGAATTCGAAATATCGTTTGCTAATTTGCTACATTGCATAGCGGAATATAGAAAAATTAAAAGATACAAGACCTTTCAAAATGATTCGAACTTTCCTGTTTTTTTTTTTTGTTTAGACAAGATTCTTTCTCTTTCTTAGCTTTATTGTTTCCTCAAACCCGCCACGTGAATAAAGTTAGAATTTGCTTTAGCATTGATTTCTTTACAGTGACGGCCCCACAATCGACGACTCGCGGCCCGCCTCCAGAGACCTTGTGGTCATCGCGTGCGTGCAAATAGCGCTCGCTGCAGCCACGCTTCTGAGCGCAGCTGTCTGCGCTCGCATCGATTGTGGCGCTTGACGCGAGCCGCAGCGCTCGCTGACACGCCGCCGCGTCAGCGAAGTGCCCCCAAACGCTACCTCGTCCGCTCCCGCCGATAATATAGTACCTTCCAATGTCACTATCGAGAGGGAAAAAGGCGGGAGAGTCGCTTGGCTGATATAAAATACTGTTGTGTGATTGTGAGTGGTGGTGCGTAATTTATATTCAGAACTAAAATGAGTAAATCTTACGGTCGATAATTTGAGTCAATGACAGCTATTACGCTAAAGGCGAGATTTAGGCCTTATCCAGGAGTGTGAATTCGCTGCGAATGTCTTCTCGCGAACACGAGCGTATGTATGACGCGATTTACGTGCGAATTTTCACCTTGCGCGTATCTTGTGGACGCAATGTATTGGCTGCTAGTATCGCGCCACCGCGCATAGGATTCGCGGCGAATTCGCCCTCCTGGACAAGGCCTTAGTGTTTGCTGACGTTTCAGCAAAGTTCCGAAAGACGCCTATTCTGGCACAACCCCTTTAACCCTTTAATACTGACGCAAAGGTCGAACAGTCAAAGTGATCTCTTAGTCAAGATAGTAATAGAGGTTTGTTGAATGAGGATGAACTGTCTAATTTTCGGTAAAATCTAGAGTCTGTAACTTAAATATGTGCAAAAAACCGATAGAATAATACATACCTCTAAAAGATAACTCTACATGCTGAAGTCAGCGGCATCAACTCTGTGAATGTTGTCTCAAATTGTGTGCATACTCTTTTGTACGTATAAACTTTATACCTTAACTCTACCTATACTTTATACTATAAATAGTTTCAGTAAAAAACGTGGCTTCAGTGTGTAGAGTGCCTTAGTTGTGAGCATTACATTATTCTACCAAGTTTGATTATTTAGCTTCTTTTGATGTCAAATTCAACTAAAAACAAACATGTCAACTCATGTTTCATATTGTGTCTAAACATCTTTTATATTCAAATTAGTATTTTGGTTAACGTTATTCTAGTCTACTCAAGAGCTAGGATCACAAAGAAATTAAGTTCGGAGCCAAAGTCACAAGATGTAAGTAATTTATTTTCTTGTAAATATTCATAATTAGATTTGTAATCATATCTTAAAATAATTTTGTAAATAAACATAAATATGGATAATGATATTGAGTAATTTATTTTGTGAATAACAGTCTAGTTAGATAAGTGTTATGTAAAAGTACAAGATTTTTACTGTATATCTTTATCTTGATATTAATTGTATAAATAGATTATATTACTATAGATGATTTGTAAAATTCTAAAGATAAATATCAGTAAATTAAATATCTAAAACCGGACAAAATTGTTTTCATTGACACACCATTTAAACGTATCCTAATTCATAAAATTAAATCTATGATTCTATTAATAAGAATACCTATTAGGATTTATTGATCAAAATAGCCCAAAATTTAATTTGGCTATCGTGGCTCAATGAACATGAAATTTTATCAACATCGTAACGCCTCAGCGAGCTTTGCTCTGCCTTTATTTTTAGGCTCGGCATGATACAAAAACATATTTCCAGTAAAAATACCTACCTAAGTAAAGAGTGGGTAATCGAGCCTACTAAAAATCTTATTCAAACTAAATTGTTATCTTAGTATCAACAACTTAATTGACGTAGAGTTGAGAAGATACGCCGTTAGGCCCAATTTGTTTGCGTAATTTCAAATTATGTACTGTAGGCACGCTTGATGTGATATAATTTTGATTCTGAACAACTTGTCTTGTAATACTTATAAGTCTTTTATATTAAGAACGAAGCACACTTGTCTTATCAAACCGGAAATGGATCGTAACCGTATCAAGTCGAGGCGGTCCTTATTCTTTGTATGAAACTTCGTACTGTAACGCACGCACATCGGTACGGCTAGCACGAAAAACTTTCGAGTTCGAATCGTTTGTGAATTCGTATCGCCATCAAAAGATTTAGTACGAAAACTACAACAGCGCCTTAGAATGAGAAATGGTTGCACGAAACTTATTTTGATAATCTAAATTGTTGCGTTATCGTTTAATGCGAAGGTTGAGTATCGAATTTTGTCGAATACGCAAACGATTCGAAGACAAAAGTTGTTCATGCTAGAGGTAACATAAACGCCTCGCCCCGCAGTTAACAGCGCGGTGAAAGACGATACGGTGTTCATCCTTTCCGGGTTGTATGCTATGACCTATATCCAGTAAAACTCAAGATTATTCTAAGAACTTCAAAACAAAGATAATTAAAACCATTATGTAGAGTCAAAAACCGTCCCTATTTTCAAAGGGCCAAAGCCGCTAATGGCTCAATCCTTTGAGGTACGTTTGCTTTGTTAATTAGCCGTAAGCATCTTATGTGACCGGGGGTGTGGGATTACCCATTTACAGTTGACAACAACTCAATTTTTGTTGAAATCTCACAATTATTATAAATACAGAAGAGGTCATAGGGTTTATAGTATACTAGCTGACCCGGCGAACTTTGTTCCGCCTTAATGGCAATAAAGAAGCAGACTTTTTTTTAAATTTCGAACGGGATAAAAAGTATCCTATGTCCTTCTCCTGGCTCTAAACTACCTCCCTGACAATTTTCAGCTAAATCGGTTCAGCCGTTCTTGAGTTATAAGCGAAGTAACTAACACGACTTTCTTTTATATATATGTTACAGGAAATGTATGAATTCTAGGAATTGTATACTATTCCTAGGAAATGTATACAATTCCAAAGCTATTTAGGAAATGTATGAAATATTGCTTCAGAGATTTTTTAATACGCACATATCCTAGGACATGTATACTTTTCCTAGGAATTTTATAGAATTCCAATATTGTATTAGGAAATGTATAAAACTAAGCGGCACAAGCGCGGTCGTGTGATCGGGTGCCCCTCAGTACGCCTAAAATTTCATTTAGACAAACCACATTGACCGATAGGTACTTTTAGCTCACAACTATTATTGTTTACCCTGAAAGTTGTTTCCGCACTATTATACTTTGGCTGAAAAAAAATTTGCCTATTGGCATACCTTTCTTTCGGCATCACGCATATTACGCTGAAGTATTGGAAAACCCTAATTTTAACATCTCTTTTGTTAAACTATTATTGACATGAAGGTTTTAGTCCTCCTGTAGGTGGATAACAAAGTCTCGGTTAGGTTAGGTTAGACTTGCGACCTTACACATACACAGCGGCCGCGGCGCGGTAGCGCCATTTAAGTTTCGGAGAAAAAAAAGAAATCTTAATTACATTTCCGATTGCTGTTTAGGAAATGTGTAAATTTCCTAGGAAATGTGTCTAATATAATTTACATCACACATTTCCGGGTGATTTTAGGACTTATACACAAATCCTAGGAATTGTATACAATGACGGATTTCATACATTTCCTGTAACATATATATAGATATATTTATTTATTTATTTTATTTTATTGTTTTGAACCACGGATACACGCGGCGTGCGTGTTTTTGCAGAGAGATGCAGAGTGCGTTACTTTAGAAAAGCTTAGCGTTTTCACGATACTACACGCCATATATGTCACTCTGTGACACGCATTCGTTCACGCGTGTCTACTAATTAAATAGTAGGTACTGCACAGGCAATAAAGCTCAAATGAGAAAACAATCACGCAATGAGAGCTAATTTATCAGCCCTTTCTTTTGTCATTTCAGTTACTCATTAAAGTGTCGTCCGATCGCGCGTTAGCTGAGTTGCGCCACTTTACTTTAACCGTAACTATAACAACAACGGTGTGTTTGTGTGGAACGTGACAGATTTTGGACGTTTGTTGAAGTTAGAGTAAGATGGTGCAACTCAAGCCTTAGTTTTTTGTATAAGAAATCTCCTTATGAAGATTAAGTTTAATGTCTTTTATTTCAAAAGTGCTCTATTTCAAAATACTGAGTTACCGTAACTTTTGAAAGCATATCACACTACTTCCTAGCAAGCATTTACTTTAACCGAGGCTTAGCTGAAGCTCGTTATGAAGTGGAATTAGCTAGAATCTAGAGACAGAAAAAGCACGAAATTTGCATTCAGCGCAGCTTTAAAGCTCTCCAATTAGCATAGTAAGAGGCAATTGAGACTTAAGAGACTTTAATTAAAAACAACACTTGAAAATGTTGAGGAAAAAATGGCTCTCTTTCGTATTAATTAAGCATAATATTATGGTAGTAAATAATAAACAAAAATTTACCAATTTTGCATTAAAAGTTGGTAGACATGATGGAGAAAGAAAGAAGAAGCGAAATTGCAATTGCGGTCAAATACCTGCCTTGTCTTGCATAAAAAAATGTGAGATAGTCTGGAAATAAAGTAATTTCCCACGGGACTATTCCCACTTCTCGTTCCCACCGCTGCAACTTCTGTGCAGATAGGATGTACCTACAGCTTGACCGCCAATAAAAACCCAACCAGTTAAGGAAAAGTTTGTCAAAATACTTGCTAACTTTCGATATTAACAAAAGGGCTTAACAATAAACTCAATACTATTTTAGTATTTCTATTTATAATTACATATTATGATTTATATACACTAATGTCCCAATAAATACTCATTGATATCTACCTTCTAAAGGCTCACAAGACATGTAAACAGCAAACCTACTGAATTATTTATCTAATTCTGCAGAATAACGTATTATGCAATCAGTAGTCAAGTCATACTAAATAACTAAAGAAAGACTAAATAAAGATCCAAAGACTCACAATATACCTAGAACAACCTCCTACATAATATAATTTGCTCGACGTAATGAAGTCTATTACATAGAGAGTGCATCGCCCCGAACCCCCTTCGCGGGTCATTAGCTCTATACCTACTAAGGGGTGGCTATTTGTAGGCATACCAAGGAAATGTAAGGAACAACAAGCCAGATAGACAAGAAAGAGATTATGGCTTATGGTAAGTAGTCTACTCAAAACGCTTTATTAAAACATAAAAAATAGGGGGGCACATAGCTCGAAGAGCCGACCGCTAGGGCAGGAAAGTTCTTGAGTGGCGACCACGAGCCGGAAGACGTAGCGTGGGCAGGCCTCCCACTAGGTGGACCGACGATCTGGTGAAGGTCGCGGGAGGTGCCTGGATGCGAGCAGCGCAGGACCGGTCTTTGTGGAAATCCTTGGGGAAGGCCTTTGTCACAAAGTATTATGTGCAAATGGCTTTAAAAATAAATATAATTTTAACGTAAATGGTAGCCTACTTTTGACAGAAAATTTCATTTTCAGATGATACTTATCGTCGTCTTTGTTGGCTCTTGATCAAGAAATCACCAAAAGAGTTGGCTATGAACAAAATATTATTCAACTTTAATCATTCACAATTTCATCATCATCATCATCATTTCGTAGGACATCATAGCAGGCCTCCGTCACTCGCCTATGCCGGCCGAGATAATTACCTACAGCGCGCGACAACTTCAAGTTGCAAATCAGTTAGGGCCGCCACGCGCCTGTGAACACACGCGTATTTCTATACACGCTCGGTCGATCATCGTCGCAATCAAGATTTATTGTTCCAACAGCACTGTTATTCTTCTTTAATGGAAAATCGTAATATTTTGGAATAATGTTAATAGTAGTAATTTAAATAATTAAAACATCTACACTTTTTAAATAATTTTGAAACACTTATGACAAAAAACTGTAGCAAGAAAATTATTTTAGCTAGTAAAAACATTAACTTTACTTCACCGTCACTATTTTCCGACACTACACCTTTTAAAACTGTTGGTCCAATTTCGAATTATCGCAACACTGAAGTTTATTAATTAGGACTTTAGAGATGGTACGATTATACAAACACCACTAGATTAAAGTTTACCAATCGTAAATACAATAAATGCTTATTAAAATTAAGTTTTATTTATTTTACTTTGTTTATACAACCCTGACGCATGAGCTGTGAGGTAGATCAATTCTGAACACAAAAAAATTGCGCTCTTGGGAGCGTAGAAGTAAGGTGCGATTTCGAATGCACCATGTGCGTTGGATATTTTGCATTATTATTATTACTGTTAAAATGTCGGCATCTGATCCTACACAAAGGAGTGCAATTTCTGTTGATACTATTATGTATTCTGTGATC